TTTATTAATCTTCATATTTAGTACAACAGAAACTCAATGTAAATGCCTGAGTTCAGCAAATAATTAATATCTTGTGTGTCCTCCTATTGCTTTAATAACTGCAGACAGTCTTTCAGGCATTGTTGCAACATATTTAATTAAAGTGCCCTTTGGGATATTACTCCAAATGTTTCTAATACACTCTCATAAAGTTTCTTTTGAAGTAACTTTTTATTTGTCAAGTTTTTGATCTATCAAATCCCAGATCTGTTCAATTGAGTTGAGATGGGGGCTCTGTGGGGGCCATTGCATCACTTGAATGACTCCAACTTCTTTCTTAGCTAAGTAATTTCTGCATAGGTTAGATGAGTGTTTGGGGTCATTATCTTCTTGGTAGTAGAATCCTTTACCAATAATATGCAAACCACTGGGTATACCATGAAGGATCAGTATCTGATGGTACTTGCGCTGGTCATTATTCCATCTATTTTGCAAATATCTCCTGTTGCCTCAGCTAAAAAACATCCCCAAACCATCACACTGCCTCTCCCATGCTTCATGGTGGGTGCTAAGCATTGAGGTAAGTATCTTTTTCCTTTCCTCCACCAGATGCACAACCTATGCTTTGAACCAGATATTTCAAACTTGGACTCATCTGTCCATAACACCCTTTTGCCAATATTTGGAATCGAAGTAAAGGGTTTTTAACTGCTACATTACCAAATATTCCATTCTCGTTGAGTCTTCTTGAAACTGTAGTTCTGGACAATTTTCTGTCATTTGGTACATGGTCGTTTATCTCATGCATGAGATCAGTGGCAGTCTTCTTTCTGTCCCAAAGGTTGCATAAACAAAGATACTTAACATCAATATCATTGAGTTTAGGTGTTCTGCCTTTTTCTTTCCTATTTTCAAATTTATCTGTTTCGGTCTCATGATCCAGGGTGTACTTGACAGTGTTTGGGGAGCATTTCAAGTCTGCAGCAATTTGTTGGAGAGTCCAACCAGCATCACACAAAGCTCTACTGACAATTCTCTACATTTTTGGGCCGTGGCATGACAACAAAAACTTAATATATAGTGTTAAACACTGATTTTATCTATCTTTATTTGTGGAATGCTATTAAATTAATTTCTTCTTGCATATACTGGTATCATATGCTAGCTTCTTTCTGTACAATTAAGACACTATATGGGGTACTATGACAGTTATTTCAGACTCTAAATTTGATTACTATGTTCATTCAAACAGAACCATTATCCTTTATGACATGTCCTTGGTACAAATATATGGGCATTCTAAAGAATGTTAAGTATTCTCACCCTGGCTCATTCAGTTGCAACAGGGATCAATGAAGCATTACCATAGTGTTGAAATTTGCATTCTGTAATGACATGGAAAAATTAGCCCCATAAAATGGAAAGAATGACAAAATATTCAGTTGTCCTAACACTTTTCACGGTACTGTATATTATTATAAAGGTAACTAAAGTAGTTAGTTTATTAGGTAAGATGATAAAAAAACAAAAATAAAAATTCCTCATGAGGTATGATCTTGAGCTTGTGCATTACTTTATTCAAATACAGTAGTATGAGCTACACGTTCTTTGAATGATTTACAACTTATGTGAGGGGATTATTAGTTAGACATGGTTCAAAAGGCAGTAAAATTAAGTATAAACAGATATATACAAGCTTTAACCTACTTAGGATAAACAGTTGTAGTATACTTTTACAATTTGCAGTCGTTCTAGAAATAATAAAGGGTAATTTAGATTTATTTACTATTTTTTTATGGTGGTTACAAGGTTGGTCAAATTGACTGAATGCATATAGAGCTAGGTTAGAGAAAATAACAGATGAAATATAAAGTTTTACTGACAAAAAGTTTGATATTTATGAAGGAAGTTTTAGAGATTACACTAATGAAATTTGATAATTTTCAGATGAAAGAAAAGTATTTTTAATCTTAATATGAAAATCACTTTGTCCTCTAATCCATAGGTTCATGGAAATATTTTTAATAAACGTAATTAAAGAATCTGATTTTTTATGTACAAAATACTTGTAATGTAATTTTTACTGAAAATTTTCTAAATTTTGTGAAGATACACAAAACATTAAAAGTTATAGAATGGAAACGCTGGTCACTTTGGGGTTAAAAGGTCAGTCACATCTACTGAGTCTGTAGCAAGAAGGTTAACTGTTAAATTAGTGAGTCCCATTTTCTTTTATTTGTACCATAAACTTTTTTATTTTGAAAGATAAATCCAGAGTCAATACCAAACAATGTATTCATCATTGTTTTAATTTCTTTGACAGGGAGTTACACCAAATTTCCTAAAAACAGGAAATTCACCAAATTTCACTAAATGCTATGTTATGTTTTTATTAGTTTAAATGCAGTATTAACAACATCTTGTTTGGAGTAATGAGGATTTGCTTCTTGCTTTTTTGTTTTTATTTTGTGAGAACAAGAATCTGCTTGTATTAATAACATAAAATATTCCTTTGTTTTGTCAAAAGCAGATAAAAAGCATAACCAAAAAATATCATTCAAAAGAAGTTGACTCCACATAATCATAGGATTTGATACTGTTGCCAGCTTTCATTCACAAATAGGATGTTGAACTTTTTTGTAGATTCTGCTCTGTTTCATGCACAATTGTGCTCTCATTATTCTACAAGAGAAGGCTCACTACTGATCACCAACTCTTTCAGGCAACACTAATGGAAGAGTCCCTGGAAGAAGCTAAGAAACGAGATGAAATGCTTCGGATGTACTGTGCTTGTAAAGATGCTCTGAAAATAATTGGTGACGTTTCCATGACAACATCATACCAACCTGTTCCACCTCCAGTGAAAGACGATTGGCTGAAGGCCAGCACACCTGAATCACCCAGGTATTTATTATAGAACTTATAATTATTATGCTCATCACAGTTGGTACAAATATTGTTGGTGTATTGCATTATACATGAAACTGTTAGAAAAAATTAAGCATTGATAACCTCAGTAATTCTGTGAAAGAGAAGGTAAGGGTAAGGCTCCTCAAAAGAATCAGTATAGTGTTTAATGCATTGGAAAGTCCAGGAATTATGCTGTTTATTTTCTTTATATTATTATTATTTCTTTTAAGACCTTCATCACCAGGGCCAAGAAGAAACTTATCTATTAGAGCCCCCCCACCTCCACCGGTAGCTTCTCGACCAGCACCAGTAATACCATCTCGCCCTGATGCTGGAACCAATAGAGCACTTCCTGCAGCTCCACCTAGGCCAGTGTCTTCAGGAAACCTTCCTCCACCTTTGGTACCATCGTAAGTATTATACATAACTTTTTTAAATCTGTCTTTGATCAAATTCACAAGTTCAATTGAAACATTATGTTGGAAGTACTCAATCATAAGTTGTTTGCTTTTTATGTATTTTGTCATTATCACATACCTTTTCACTCATCACAAACATTTTTGTAATAAAGTAAGACATTTTCCATTTCACAACTTACTAAATAAGGTCTTTAAAACCAAGATTTCATACTAACCATTGTTCTTTTGACTTGCTCTACCCCTCTTCTGTCATATACTTATTAAATCCATTTATTTTAGAATCATGTGTTGATGCTGAGAATTTTAATTAGTTTTTTTTGCAGTATTGTGGGTGCTCTGGTTGAAAATTCAGTGTTTGTTTTCATACATTTGGTCATTAGTTTTCATTCTAAAATATCTTAAAAGAATTTCCACCTTTCAAAAATGCTTGGGATTTCCAAGTTTCTTTATCATGTTAAATAGTACTTAGTATTTCAAGAATTACATTAATTGAGAAGTACCAGAAAAGTTGGTCATTATTCTATGAAGATGTTTGTGTTTAACTTTTTAAAGAAAAAATATATATGGCATATCAATGAAATGTTAAATTACAAAAAAAGTTGCTCATTTTATTCTTGAAACTGCTCTTCAACCATAATTTTTGTAAAGACATGAATTAGAAACACTAAATAAAGAAGAAAAAATTATAATTAAAAGAAATCTTGTGAAGACAAGTTGGGCATGCAGAAATGATAAGTTAGCAGTTAAAGGTATTAGAAGAAAACATGTATAGTACCTCTCTTGGTGCTTGTTTACTGCTCATTTGTAGGAAATTTGTTAAATATTCATTTCCAAAAATTACTTGTAGTCCTATGATAAGTAGTTTCTTAGAATTAAAGACTAAGATTTAATCACTTTTCTCAGTCTGTGAACATGAAACAAGCTTATATTTTTATTAGTATTAAAGGATCATAGTTGTAGACCTGTTCTATTTTTTCTTCTCTTGTTGTATAGAGTTTATTGCTGCTAGACTAAAAATGGATATATGTAGAAGTAAAAGCAGAATTGTAATCTATATTCTATTAGGTGGAGTAAATAGTGCCATTTTCCACCTACTTTCAGCATATTTCTGTGTGATTGAATGAATATTTGTAGAAGGTTACATGGCTTATTAAATGAACTACTGATGGCCAGTTTAAAAATGTCATCAACTCTTTTCTATTTTATTTAGTGTATGTTTTTAGTGATTCTATCTTTTCTTACTAACTTTCTGAGTTTCTGTTCACTTTAGCCGAGGGTCTGGAGGAAATCTGCCTTCCATTCCACCACGAACATCACAGGCAGGACCTGAGCCCATTCTGGATGCATTTGGCATGCCTCTACATAAATAACTGGCCATTTTGTCAGAGAGAGGCTGTTCTCTCCAATTGAATAAAAGATGTTCGTTGGTGACTGGATGCACTGCTTGTCTGTACTTCTTTTGCTTTATCTTCTGCTTCTTAAAGCGTAGATTGTTTTTGCCCTGTTTGAAGGAACATGTATAAGTGAGAATGTAATGTTACATAGGTTGTAACACATTGCAGCAGGGTTTGTGATACTCTTCTTAGATTCAGTAATGTTACTTCTGATTATTTCACTTTGATGGCTTTGCAATTTTATGTTTTTTTGTTTTTGAATATTCTTATAAATTATGTACTCGTTTTTCCAAAAGAAGAAAAGTTTAGTTAAGTAAAGTCTGGGGTTTTGTAAAATAAGCACACTTCTGGTTTTATGAATGTGTGGGTGTATGATTAAAAGGTTTGTTTATTTTGTGACATAAATGAAATTTGTGATGACACGAAAAAGTGGTGACATACACAAGTATGCAGTTAATGTTAGCCGTAGTTTACCTTACCTGGATAAAACCTCTGTGGTTCTCACTTAAAATACCACAAAGTGTAATTGACTCTTCAGTCTTTATTGTTGAGTTTATAATATGTAAAATTTATTTTGTAGAGCTTACTAGAAAACTAGTTGGATTTTTTTTTTCTTGTATATGTTCTTTTGTGTTTGTTTAGAAATAATCTTACAAGCTTATTAGTGTTTAGTCTTGTCTTCAGAATGGTAAACATCTGCTGTTTGTTGTTAAGCAACTTCCCTTTGTAGTTGTAAAATGTAATATCAAGATATTGGCCAGTTTGTTTGTCATGAAACACCTCTTATAATTACGTAGAAACCTGATCAGAATTGTAAATAGTCTTTTTAATGTCACCAACAGTCATTTAATTTGAGATTTTTTAAGCATCATCCTTTGCATTTATAATTTTGAATCAGAATGGTAGATAGTTTATCACTAAGCCACATCTTCTCATACACTTGTAACAAAACTAAGTTTTGAATGATTCAAATTTGTCCACCTGTTGATTTTCTTTGTTGAAGAAGAAGTTTTTTTTTTAAATGTGATATATAATATATACTAATTTAAGGAACAAAGCCTTTCTACACATAAAAATAAACTAATCACAGCAACAAAATAATGTAACACCAGGGTACAAGTTATGTGGTGGGAAAATATAAAATGTATCCTGGTTTTGATGGTGTCTACAGAAGTAAAACCTACATAGCCACTATTAATATAGATATCTAGGTATGTATATAATTACTAGTCACATATTTAAATGTCTGTACTTAGATATGCAATATATGTGTTCAGTTTGCAAAGTAGTATTTCAAGTTTTGAAGTAGGCACTATATATCAGCATTTCTGAAATATACAGTATATTCATATCTCAGTGTGTTGATGTTTGTATTTGTATGTACAAGTAATTTTCAGGTACTTAATGTTGTGGGAAATTCTGTTATAAATATATGTATCTACAAATTGTTTTTTAGGTATTCTGATAATATGTACGTGCAATGAATATTTTAGTGTCTGTTTCTCACCTGTTATTTAATTTTGTTAAAGTGCACTCACAAAATTGATTTTAATTGGGTTGCTGTATTCAAGTATATTTTATGTTTAAAATATTAAGCTTTTGAGCATGATATGCACAAGTGCGTGTGTTGTCAGTCTGAAGAAGATACAATATATGTATATATAGAACAGCTCTTCTTTATTAATGTTAAATACATTTCTTGCTTAATTGAAGTGGTTTTTCCAGACTTTTTTTCTTTTACACAAATTGAACTTCAGTTGTTAATATGTTAAACATATACAAGTTAGATGTTTAAGCTTCTAAGAGTTTTTATGGTTATTATAGAAAATTTGATAATTAGACTTTTCTTACCACATTTAGAAAAATTATTTAAATATTACTCAGAACTTGATAATTGTAGATGTTTTTAAGTACAGGAGAGCTATATGGTCAACTTCAGTAGTTTTCTGCAGAAATTAGACATAGTTCTATATGCTTCATTGACCTCAAGTTACTTTTGATATTTTTCTTCTAGACATAGTAAATAGAATTGTTTTCAAGTTCTTGATTTGTATAGATAAGAAACAGCATGTTATTTTTTTCAGTTTTTGTTCATTTCCCCTCCCCCAATTTCCATTACTTATTTAGTTAGTTACGTTTTATTCTGTTTTGTAGGAGACCCCTACCTTCTGTTCCTCCGCGAATCCCTGACAGACCACAGGTTCCAGCCAGGCCTAATTAGGTCACTACCGATTTATCAAAGTGTACTAACCAAGACTTTTTGATCAGTGTACCATTGGTTTCATCCCTGATTTAACCATAGTTTCAGTTGTTTGCATCACTAAAACCTTACTCTGGAGCATCATGTTTGCTAAATGATTAACTGAACTTCAGAATTTTCTCAGTGTACAAATAATAGCTAGTTGCAGACTAAGCATCATCACTTTTCAAGTATTTATTTTGCATTTTTATTGTTTAATCTACTTGAGAACTTTGTTTCATCTGTAAAAAAAATATTATTGACAGTTGTATGTATAAGATATGTATATTGTGCACTGTTGTAAAGTAGAGTAATATAAAAATGTTGACTAGTTATTATTGGTAAACTTACAGTACACATAGAGATCATGCTGCATCTTAAATTTATTTTTCAATTTATCAAGTCTTATGAGATGAAGGAGATATTGTTAGTAAAGTTTTGAAGAGTTAAAAACTATTTGGTAACTGTTACAGAGATATTTTTTCTTTGCTAAATTTGTTGTTAGTGGTATTAAAAAAGGGTATGAATAAATATTTGTTTGAGGAGTGTATGTAGATAAGTTTCTTTTGTGTTTTTGTAAACCTGAATGAGCATCATTTGGGAATCTCCATTTTAGATAACTTATTTATATTGTGGTTTAAAATTTTGACTTCTTTCTTCAATATCCTGTAGCCCACATCAGCAATATGCAAAATTATATAGTTGCTCTTATGTTTCAAACATTTTTTCTTCATACACTAAAGTTGTTAAAGGTGTTGTTCAGATGGGTTGTTAATCAGGTTAAGCAATACATGAATAATTTTATTGTTGCATGTATTGGCCAGTGGTAAAGGTACATAAATTATTAGGGTAACAGTGTTTGTATTTTTGTTCTATTCTCCATTACAACTGCAAATGTGTAAAAATTAAGACTTTTTTTATGTAATTAGTTATTAAGTATGATGTAAGTTTATGAAAAAAAAAGGAAAAACATGCTCATGCATTTATAATGTATATATACATGTCTTCTGAAGATTCCTCAGATGGGAACTTTGGTTTCAGAATTTAATGTTGAATGAGTAGTATAATATTTTCAGTGGTTTTGTATATAATGTGCAGTAATATATTTGTAGAATGTGGTGTTTGTCATGTATAGATGGATTAAAATTCTTTCAATGAATTATTTGAAGTATTTTCGTCCTTTGTGGTTAGTGTTTTGTGTTAAGTTCTAAGGGAGGTTCTTGATAATCTCATCTGAAAAGTATAATTTACTACATATTTGAAAAACACAAATGATGTTATTTTGTTTTCTAATGATGCTGTAGTCGTTTTTCTTTGGAGTATATACCTATTTATCAGCTGGTTTTTGCTAACATGTCTTTGGGTGTCTTATAATGTCCTCTTTCACCAACAAATATCCATTGAATGACTTTCTTTGATTTATAAATGATATCATCAATATCTTTGGATAACCTGGTTTTCAGTGGCATGTACATGGATGTCTTCTGTTGTCCCAGGGAGCTACCCTTGGTTAGAACTGTTCACTATTTGAGTCACTGCCACATTTTCAAGTATTACTAAATATCTTTTTGCTGGATAGTTCTTACAATAAGATGATGGAAATTGTCTGTCAACTTGTAATGGTTAGTAGCTTATACCAAGCTATAATTATTAATTAATATTTTCAAATACTAGATACTGATTCCTAACTAGTGATATACATGATCATATAGGCTACTAAACATGACAATGGATTTCTGTATATCCTTATCCATTTGTATATCCCTATTATGCCCTTGAAACTTAAGTTTTCCCAGCCTTATTTTTTTATGACATGACTCCAGAAGAAATTAACTATTGATGAAACAGCAGAGTTTTAAATGCCAAACAAAAACACTGTTGAAAGTTTTCATAAATTTAATCTAGATAACTATGTGCAACATAGTGGAAGTGTTTTTTTAGTTATGTTATTATCTGATATGTTTTACTGTTATCTCAAAAGCCACAGGGACTTTTCAAATGTGTTTGTAATATAATCACAAATCTTGCAAGATATTTGAGAGTTATACACTATAGCATATCCAACTTGAATCTCTAGTGTCATTACTGTCAAACATGACTGCCCATTACATTAATTAAGAGAATGCTTAAGGAGTTGAATTAATTGATTTAACGCTGAACATCATTGTTATAATTGTTTGGTACTGTAATATCAGTATTTGAAAATATGAGTTCCTAAAGAAAGACTTAGCACAGACTAAAAGCTTAGGTTTCCTCAATAAAAGGTTTGAGAACTTTAATGAACTGTGACTGTCTGTTAAATGAAAAAATAATTGGTTTCTGTACTGAGGCCTCTGTGTGGAAATTGAAACATCTTCCTATTACAATTATCAAACTTACTGTGTTTGTCTAAAGTTCTTATGAAATAAAATCTGGCAATAAAAGTTTTAAATAATTTTACAAGTTGATCTTCCACATTTGTGTACTTCAACAAAATGACTAGTGAAAACAATATTTGTGTGTATCTCAACAAACTGACTAGTGAAAACAATATTTGTATGTATCTCAACAAACTGACTAGTGAAAACAATATTTGTATGTATCTCAACAGACTGACTAGGGAAAACAATATTTGTATGTATCTCAACAGACTGACTAGGGAAAATTGTTGAGATACATACAAATATCGTTCACTAGTCAGTACAAATATGGACGTTTGTTGAGATACATTTGACTAGTGAAGACGATATTTGTACGTATCTCAACAAACTGACCAGTGAAGACGATATTTGTAC